AATTATTTTTTATTCTTCGGTTATAAGGGTAGTTTCAATTAATGTCACATAGCAAGCTAGTAATTGCTCCTCAGATGGAAATTTTCTAGTCCAAAGTCCCAGTAATTTTCACTGAGAGGTGAAAGCTCATAGGCTTTAAGTTCCAGTCTGCATTCCACCCAGGGTTATTGTACAGAGAATTCATCCATAATAGTTCATATACTGATTGATATTAAAGGCCTGTGTGAACTTGAGTAATCTTATTTATTCCCATTTGGCATTCCCAGTTAATATTGCTTAAAGGGTGGATTTATATGCCTTCTGTTTCATATTACTTGTTAGAGGAAACGCTCTCCAACCAGACATGATATCAGTCCCCATAATACATCCTGGTAAATGAGACACAACTACTTAACATAATGCTCGTTTAGGGCTAGGCATGGTGGCTCACGCCTGTAATCCCAATACTTTGAGAAGCTGAGGCAGGTGGATCACCTGAGGTCAGGAATTAGAGACCAGCCTGGCCAACATGGCAAAACCCCATCTCTACTAAAAATACAAAAGAATTAGCTGGCTACTCAGGAAGGTGAGGCAGGAGAATTGCTTGAACCCAGGAGGCAGAAGTTGCAGTGAGCCGAGATTGTGCCACTGCACTCCAGCCTGGTCAACAAGAGCAAAAATTTCTTCTAAAAAAAAAAACCAAAGCTTGTTTAAACTACCAATTTTCATCCAAACTTTTGCCTTAATTTCATTAACTCTTACCTTTCTATATCCTCTCAATCTAGCTGTGATTCCCCTTAGGACTTTTCTTTTTTTTTTTTGAGACAGAGTCTCACTCTGTTGCAGGCTGGAGTGCAGTGGCACAACCTTGGCTCACTGCAACCTCCACCTCCCAGGTTCAAGTGACTCTCCTGCTTTAGCCTCCCAAGTAGCTAGGATTACAGGCATGCACCACCACACCCAGCTAATTTTTTGTATTTTTAGGAGAGATGGGGTTTCACCATGTTGGCCACGATGTTCTCAAACTCCTAACCTCAAGTAATCCACCCACCTTGGCCTCCCAGAGTGCTGGGATTACAGATGTGAGCCACCACACCCAGCCCCATTGGGACTTTCAGTAGTAAGTAGGGGAAGTGTTGCAGTCAGACATAATATCTATTCCCATGAAACATTCAAGTAAAGAAGACGCAGCCTCTTCACATAGTCTGTTTAAACTCTCCAGTTTTCATTCAAACTTTCACCTTAATTCCATCAATGCTTGCACTTCTGTACTCTTTCGATTTAATTGTAGTCTTCTTTAGGGCATCACCAGGGGGTTTTGGATCAAAGTACATGGCACTTTTGTGTCAAGGTGTCCTCAAGTCTTCTCCTCTCCACCCACTGATCAGTTTGCCCATTCATGTGATAAAGGTGTTGGGTCCCCAGCTCATAACTGAGCCAAGGAATCCAGACCTTTTCCTGAATCTTTCTTGATTAAATTGGTAGACTGTTGCTCCAGGTAATTGAAGGTCGAGTTTCTTGTTGCCATCTTCGCCTTTCTGCTTTCCAGATTCTTCCAAACTAAGATGAATAAAGCAGATTTACTTAGTGTTCTTAAATGTTGGGACACTAGCAGGAACCCCTGCATCAGGCCACCCAGCCGCTGTGTTTTGACCCCAGATTTCCACCCTACTATGATAAGTCCCTTGACTCTCCCTTTTCTCTTTCTCTTTCATTTTACCCCCATCATTGTTTGCTTTTTCATTTCATTTCTTTAAAAAAACAAAAACTTTTGTTTTAGGTTCAGGGTACATGTGCAGGTTTGTTACAAAGGTAAACTTGTGTCATACGGGTTTATTGTACAGATTATTTCATCAGCTAGTTACTAAGCCTAGTACCTAATAATTATTTTTTCTGATTTGCTCCATCCTCCCACTCTTCACCCTCAAGGCCCCAGTCTCTGTTTCCCTCTTTGTGTCCATGAGTTCTCATCATTTAACTCCCACTTATAAGTGAGAACATGTGGTATTTGGTTTTCTGTTTCTGCATTAGTTTGCTAAGGATAATGGCCTCCAGCTCCATCTACATTCCCAAAGAGGACATGATCTCATTCTTTTTTATGGCTGTATAGTATTCCGTGGTATATATGTACAACATTTTCTTTATCCAATCTGTCATTGATGGGCATTTAGCTTGATTCAATGTATTTGCCATTGTGAATAGGTGTTGCAGTGCACATTCACATGCATGTGTCTTTATGGAAGAATGATTTCTATTCCTTCGGGTATATATCCAGTAAAGGGATTGCTGGGTTGAATGGTAGTTCTGTTTTTAGCTCTTTGAGGAATTGCCACACTTCTTGCTACAATGATTGAACTAACTTATACTCCCACCAACAGTGTAAAACCATTCCTTTTTCTCCACAACTTACCAGCATCTGTTATTTTTTTACTTTTTAGTAATAGCCATTCTGACTGGTGTGAGATGATATCTCATTGTGGTTTTGATTTGTATTTCTCTAATGATAATTGATATTGTGTTTTTATGCACATGCTTGTTGGCTGCATGTATGTCTTTTTTTAAGTGTCTTTTCATGTCCTTTGCCTACTTTTTAATGTCTTTTTTCTTGTAAATTTAAGTTCCTTGTAGATGCTAGATATTTGACTTTTGTCAGATGTACAGTTTGCAGAAATTTTCTCCTATTCTCTCGGTTGTCTGTTTACTCTGTTGATAGTTTCTTTTGCTGTGACGAAGGTCTTGAGTTTAATTAGATTCCATTTGTCAACTTTTACTTTTGCTGAGATTGCTTTTGGTATCTTTGTCATGAAATCTTTTCTTGTTCCCATGTTCAGAATGGTATTGCCTAGGTTGAGTTTTTATAGTGTTGTTCACTCTATTTCTTAATAACTGTTTAAAGATTTTTTTTCTCCAGTTTGGGTGGATTTCTAGACATTTCCCTCTTTCTATCTCTGTTCTCTTAGAAATTATTTTAGTCTTTTTCAAGATTTATTTCAGCATAACTTTTTCCTTTGAAAATGACTCTGAGGCTAGTGCCTGTTCCTTGAACTGGCAAGAATCAATATCTTTCCCAACACATTCATTCCTTCAGTAGGGGCCCTGAGACTAGAGGCCATAATTTAGACTGGCCAGAATTTATATTTGGTTCATCTCTTCCTTTCATTTTTAGCTATTAGAGATAGCAGTAATCAAGAGATTGTGTATTTCTCTTTTTGTTATGATTTTGCATTTTGCTATACGTTTAGTGAGCCAGTTCCCCAGAAGATGTATGGATCATCTTAAATTCCATGGGTAACTTTTACCTCCAATAACTGATTGCAGCATAACTGGTGTTTCATACCATGGGTGACCCCATGGCCATTGAGGAATCAGAAGTTCTTCATCCTCTACCCTTTCATCCTTTCTCTTCCCAAACCATGTGCTTCAATAACCTAATACCAACTATTCCATTTTCATCTCAACTGAGTTTACTGCATTTCATTTCTACACTAGCTGGACCTAGTACAGACACCAAAGCTTAAGACTGCCCCTACTCCAGATGCTAGCTACAAATCTAAGACTCCTCCAACCCCACTGCAGCTGCCTACCTTTCTGACCAACTAGGTACAAAGTCAGGGATTCCTACAACTCCTTCAAGTTTGAAAATTCACTAAAATGACTCACAGAACTCAGGAAAGCTATACTTATTATTACAGTTTTATTATAAAGGACGGACACAGAGTTTCTGTGTCCTCTCTTCTCAGGACACATCACCTTCCCAGTTCATCACTGTGTTCACTAACCAGGAAGCTCCACTGAACATTGACATTCAGAATTTTTATGGGGTTTTGTTACATTGGCATGATTAATTAAATCATTGGCTACCGGATGAACTGTCTCCAGCCTGCTTCCCATCTCCTGAAATTCAGACTGTCAAACCACATACTTGATCGGATTATTGGCCCCTATCCTGAAGCTATCTAGGGGCCCACCAAGAGTCTCTTCACTAGCAGTAATAAAGATGCTCTAATCAGGAAATTCTAAGAGTTTTTGAAGCTCCAGGACAGAGACCAGATAAATTATTGATTATACCAGAGTAACATATTAATAACAGAAAACTGAGCAGGACATAACACGTTGCCTGGCATTATAATAGGCATTCAACATGTTTTTTCTTTGTGGAATATGATTGTCTATTGTTGGGACTTAGAAACCAATACCCCAAAATATGATTCTTTGACATGCTGTGCTGAAGTTTCCTTATCTGCCTCAACTTTGGACCCACCAAAGAAGAAAAAAATTACCTCTGGTCCCTTCCCTGAGTTATCATTAACAAAACTCCTATTGCAGGAAGAAATACAGAAGGCTGTCAACACACCTGGGCAGACATTTGCCACAAACCATTGTGTGCTCTTGTGTGCCCATCAGACTCTGTATGTTCTTCCTGCCCACTGAATTCCCCTAGAAATCATTTACTACCCCTTCTAAAATCCACATTCCCCATCTCCATTTCCCTTAAGAGGGGAATAAGGGGATTTAACCATCTGCACCCCATTGTATGGTAGGGTAATCACTCTATGATTCTCCCTCATGTAAGTTGATAAATATGTCTACCATTTATCCTATTAATCTGCCTTTTGTGAGTTGGTTTTTAGCTAACCTCCAAAGGACAAAGAGGAAGTTTTTCTTTGGCGCATACACTATGGTGTTATATTGGTTTAAATCAAAGTTATCAGAATTATAAATTACTTTCACATTTGGACTTGCCATTGTTGAGCCTATGGAGCATTGATGCCATGCCATTAATAAAAATTCTAATTAAGGGATGTGTTTTAGGAAGAAGTATTCAGTTTTATTTTCATAAGAAATGTGACCACATCAATAAATTAAAATTGGATGCTGCTGCTCTTCTGTGCTGAATTATTTAACTCTCTGTGGTCTAGAGAGTTAAATAATTTCTCATAAGGATTATAATAGTTTTGCTGAATTTTACCAGTAAAAATTTTAATATGACACATTAATTAATGTTCTACTTTTTTTTCAAGTAATCTTCCTCTTTGAGGCATCAACTGGAAAACCATTAGGTGATGGGAAGTTTCTTTCTCATAAGGTAATGGACATTAACTACTTCTAATGTAGATAGCCACTATTTATTTACTTCCTTTTTAAAATTAATGTTTTCAATTGAAAGAGGACACAAAGGAATTAGTTTTGTATTTAAAATGACTGCATTCTCCATTGACTCTTCTGCCTAAAAATGTTGCAAAGACCTTAGTCTATATATGGAAATTAATTGAATAAAAGAATCTGACTTATATGTCTCTTGTCAACCTCTTCACTGTTTTTCAGTTATGTGTTCTATTTTGATTAAAATGTTAGCATTTATCAGTAAATAAAAATGTATTTGTGTTTCTGAATATCTTGCAGTTTTCTCATTGACCTGTTCTTAGCTAGCATTGTCTTTAGGTTTTAAGACTGTAGTAAGAAATCTATACAAGTACAAAAGACCCTGAATTGTAAGTTGTTTATTGGTTTCTGATTTTTAGCCTTAAAGAAGCACATTGCATTGAGTTATTCTTCTAAATTACTGATTAGTCTAAAGATGCTTTTGTTTTATTAATACTTCTAGTGAAATGTTACTCAAAATCATATATATATATCTTTGTAATTATTAGTTTTTTTATTTGTTTGTTTGTTTTTGGTAGAGACAGGGTTTTGCCATATTGCCCAGGCTAGCCTCGAACTCCTGAACTCAAGCAATCCACCTGCGTCAGCTCCCCAAAGTACTAGGATTACCAACATGTGTCACCGCACCTGGCCCTAGTTTTAAATTTGAATAACAAATACATTCATATGGTTCAGAAATCAAAAAGCATTAAAAAGTATACAGTGGTAGTCCCCCTACTATACCTACTATTCATCATTATAGTGCCTCTTTACCAAATAAGTAACTGTTGTTATTAATCTCTTATATATTCTTCCAGAGATTTTTAGCGTATGTACCAACAAAACTGATATATGTTCTCTTCCTCCTCTTTTACAAAAATGTAACACACAATTCTACACCACTTTGCTTTTTTCGTGTAATACTCTCTTTCTGGAGATGGTTCTATATCTATACCTAAAGTGTTTTCTCAACCCTTTTTTCTCCACTGTATGGTATAACATTTTATGGATGTATCAGAATTTAAACTGTTTCCAACCTTTTACTATGAATATTACGGTATTGGCAAGATGAATTATTACCTTGCATATACATCTTCTTGTAATGTGCTAGTATAACTGTGGGATTTATTCTTGAAATATTGTTGCTGGGTCAAAGGATATGAGAATTTGTAATTTTAATAAGTATGTTGAAGTTATCTTTCAAAGAGGTTGTATCAGTTTACCTTTGCACTGGTAATATCTGAGGTGCTTATTTCACTACAATGTCTCCATTATTGTCATTTTAAATCAAGACTGTAAGCAGAGATTTTCCTTTTCAGTAAGATTAAGCATATCAAAAGGAGTAAATTTCTCAGCTTTTCAAGATGCAGTTATTTTTGTTAGTAGGATTGAAAAGAGAGTCAATTAATAATTAAATATTTATTTTAATGTTATAATGCTTTCTATAACATTTTTCCTAAGTGTAAGAATTTCCTAGAAAATTTGCCATTTCCTAATTATAAGAATGGAAGTGACTTTTACTTATCACACTTCACCCAATTACCCAGTACATTGGTATGCAATACAAAGGATTTTTAAATTTTACATTCTATGAAGTAATAGAAAACTCACCCAAACTATTTTATTTTATATCTGGAAGAAACTCATATCCAGGATCTTCCCAAATAGTAACAGAACCCAAACTAGAGCTCAAGTCTGTGTATCAGTAAATAAATATTAATTAGTGTAGGGCAAGGGAGATGGTTCTACTGAACACAGAACTGCTTTTATGCCCCACTACAAAGAGTCACCCAGGAGGAATAGAACATATGGGGGAGATGGACTTGACAAGAAGAAAATGGGGGATGCCCTGCTGAATGAAGTTGGAGAACCCCTCTTCCCCTACGTACATAGGCATTATTATAATTACTATGCATCTTTGATTTTTAATTTCTTTTTTTTTTTTTTGAGACGGAGTTTCGCTCTTGCTACCCAGGCTGGAGTGCAATGGCGCGATCTCGGCTCACCGCAATCTCCGCCTCCTGGGTTCAGGCAATTCTCCTGCCTCAGCCTCCCGAGCAGCTGGGATTACAGGCACGCACCACCGTGCCCAGCTAATTTTTTGTAATTTTAGTAGAGACGGGGTTTCACCATGTTGACCAAGATGGTCTCGATCTGTTGACCTCGTGATCCACCCGCCTCGGCCTCCCATGATTTTTAATTTCTTAGACAGAAGAATCATATCTGTTTAACAGTGTTTTTAAAATAATACACTAGGTTCTGATGATGATGACAATGATAAGCAATTCTTTATTGTAAAGATCAGTTTCTCTGAAACATTTCCATTTTGAAAATACCTAGCGTTATATTTCCTGCATGCCTTGATATATATGAAACAAAATTATTTTATTCCTTAAAATGTAAATTATGGTATTCTAGAAAGAGTTGAATTTTTTAAAATGTATTATGAACTGGTATATGATTGATTCATCATTTTGGATTAAGATATATGTGTATTTTGTTTTATTTTAAACAATGTTTCTTATACTACATTTTGATACAATGATTTGATGTTGTGGTCATGATTCTTGTTGAATTCACAGTTCCTAGCAAAGTCTTCAGACATTGTAGACAGTAAATAAATCTTTCTCGATTTTGGTTAAAATGTACTGTATTAAAACATTTTCAAGTTTTAAGAAAATTCATCGTACTAGCAAATGAAAACCAATGATCTTGGAGTTAGAAGTCTGAGTTGCAAGTTTAGATATACTTTATACTGGCTTTTTCTGAGCAAAACCACTTATTGAGTATAAATCTAGTCTTATGATTTGCAAAGTAAGTATTATAATATCTATATTACAAGATTTTTCTGTTTTGCAAGAATGAATGTGAGAGAATCTGTAAAATACAAGGATCTGGACACATGATATATTTCCAAAATTTATTTTTACAAATATTTAAGATATAGTTATTAGGCAACTTGTTAATCAAAATAGACCTCTCATCATACTCAGACTTACCTGCCCCTTTCACCCTGACTGTGAAAGATAGGACAAGACAGATAGCAGTGTTTCTCAGCCAACAGAGTATCAAAATATATGTTATTTTATTGTATTTTGAGAGGTATCTTTTCCTTGGATGTCAGGCAAATATACTTTAGTGCAGCTTTTGAATAATTAATATATTGGCAGTTTAAAATTATTTAACAGGGACATTTTATCATTGTAAGTGGGTAAATGACATTTAATTGATCTTAAAAAAGAAAATGTTTTTATAATTAAATAATTAAAATTATCTTATATCGAACACTAAAACTAACCTAGTATTTACATTTTTAAAAAATTTTAGAATGAAATCTTGGAAATTGCTCTGGATCAAAAAGGACTTACCAATGATAGAAAAATTGCTTTCATTGATAAAAATAGAGATCTCTGTATCGCTTCTGTGAAACGATTTGGGAAGGAAGAACAAATTATCAAACTTGGTAAAATAATTTTAATACATTTGAAGTTTTGTCTACTTTCTTATATTTGCTATAATAAATAATTTGTTCAAATGAATCTGGAAATGTTTTAATCTTAGCTACTTTTTTTTAACAGCAGGAGCGACAGTTTATTCAAAAGCTTTATTTTTTATATTAAGTTTATTTTATTTGAGACAGGGTCTCACTCTGTAACCCATGCTGGAGTGCAATGGCACGATCAAGGCTCACTGTAACCTCCACCTCCTGGGCTCAAGTGATTCTCCTACCTCAGCCTCCCAAGTAGCTAGGACTACAGGCACGCGATACCACATCCAGCTAATTTTTTTGTATTTTTGGTAGAGACAGGGTTTCACCATGTTACCCAGGCTGGTCTCAAACTCCTGAGCTCAAGCCATCCACTTGCCTCAGTCTCTTAGTGTTGGGATTATAGGTGTCCAGTCTATTAAAAACCTTTAGAGCAGGAAAGAATGGAAGTAAAGTAAACTCACAAGAGGGCCGGCACACAATTTGAGAGATCAAGTGCACTGTTTGACCTCTGATTTGTGGTTTTATACTTTGGCATTCTTCTGGGAGTTGCAACTCTTTGGCCCTAATTCTTCCCTTGGGGTGGGCTGTCCACATGCACGGTGGCCTGCCAGCATCTGGGAGGGGCCACATGCACAGTGTGTTTACTGAAGTTGTACACATGCTCACTTGAGGCGTTTTTTTCCTTACCACTCCAGTGTTCCTAACGAAGTTCATATACCAGTTAAACTCCTCTACCATTTTGTCATTAGTGCACATGTGTGAGCCCACTCACGTAGCTCTTGAGATCGTATTGAGAAGCTACTAATTTCCAGTTTCGGTGTTTCTATTAAGAGACTGCCTTTCCCTGATACTGGCTGTAACCAATTATTATTTTAGAGAGACAGCTTAGCAACTACCTGACCATCAGCTGATGGTTACCTGACATTCCTGGTGCTAGTGGCGGGGGGCCTCTCCTGCCTTGCTTAAGTCTACCTGACCACCTGCAGTAATACCCACCCCCCAAGGGTCCAAGACCCTAATTCTATTGTAAAAATGGAGAAAGGTCAGTCTTCTTTAACTGCTTCCTGCTGACAGAGGAGCAGTGGTGGTTGTTCTGTGGGTTTTAGCCTCCTGCTAGCTCTCAGGGCAGGATGGCTCCATGGGTTGGTGAAAGCAGTATCCAGCCAGGTCCAAGGGAGAGAAGGGCAGGAGTTCACCTCTGTCATGTCCCACTGATAGGCAGACTAGAGGTCCCCTGTAGAAGAGTGCCTCTTGAATATTGAGAGGACGGTATCCCTCACTGAGGATCATCTGGAACTTGATGGTCTGAGGCAAGAGGATTAACTTATCTTAATAGCAAGTCTTTAGCTGCTGCACTTAAATTGTCACTGAAAGAAAAATTTGCAAATTAAAAATATAAGGGTTCTAGGTAAAGCATTCAAATATTTCTGTCAATTCTTGTGTAATTATTTTGTATGTGTTTTCACCATTATACAATCAGAAACTAGAGTCATATATATCAGAAATTATATGGGATTTTGTTTGTCAGGCATTTTAAAGATATATTTTAATACTTACATATTAAAACTGATAGCATATTAACATTCTTTTTAAATTAAGGAACAATGGTGCATACCTTGGCATGGAATGATGCATGCAATATCCTTTGTGGACTTCAAGATACTCGATTTATAGTGTGGTATTACCCCAATACAGTTTATGTGGACAGAGACATTTTGCCTAACACATTATATGAAAGGGATGCAAGGTAACATTTTACTGCATATAATTCTGTATTGTAGTAAATAAAACTCTAATAGAGTATCATGTTTTGCTTCTGTTTTCAATCCTGCAAGGTATTTTTCACATCAGTCAGATTATTGGTAGATAAATTGTTCAGCTAAAGCTAGCTTGAGACTTAAGTGACAGAATCAAGTCGATGGTGTTGTATGATATGAATTATGTATTTTTCCCTTGTATGAATATAATTTTCAAGCTTAGTATGGTGTAATGGTAGCTCCAGTAGTTTTCTCAATGTGATCAAGTGATTTTAGTATAGGCACTGTTAAGATTTTTCTTAACAGGATGCACGAACTTGTGACAACTACCCAATTCTATCACGTATTATCATTGACTTCAACACTTTCAAGAATGTGTACGTCTCTAGAATTGAATTTTGGGTTAATATTAAAAGTAGGAAAAGACCAAAGTTACTTAAATTTTTAGAAACTGTATTTGCTTCAGAAAATCATTTATATTCCTAAATTCTCTAAGAAATGGCAAGGAGATCTTATTCTTGACACAATAGGCATACAAAGACTTCTTAATTCTAGACCTTAATTTAGTTTTCAAATCTATTTTGAGTTCATTTTTAGTATTCAAGTTCACAACCTTAACAAAACCAGAGAGGCATCAAAATAAAACAGTATATTTTAAAAAGTATTCGAACTAACGAAAAGAAATTAGTCTCTTTATTTGAAGGTTATCTCTTTTTATTTATTTATTTTTAAAGTCAAGATCTCACTCTGTCACCCAAGCTGGAATGCTGTGGTGCAATCATGGCTCACTTCAGCCTGGGCTTAAGTGATCTTCTCAAGTAGTTAGGGCTGCAGGTACGAGTCACTGCACCTGGCTCCCCTCTTTTTATTCTAAGAAAATAGTCTTGGAATTAAATTTATTTTTTATCAGCTTACCCTTTAATACTTTTAAAAACTAAAGCTATATTAATCATTGTTGCAATTTGTCTTAAGCTCCAGGAAAAAAAAAAGACTTCAAATGCTCTTAGGAATAGCTCTTAAATATGTAATAATTTTTGCCAATTTAAACTGTATATAGCAAGTTATATTCTAATGTTTATATTCAAAATTAATTCCAGGGAGAATGTATATATTCAAATAAATTTCAATTACCTTCTAGGGGTGTGCCTTTTGGAGAATAGAGACTCCATATATGTTTCACAGTCCACTCCCCAGATTTAATATACATGAAAAATTTTGCTCAGAATACAACTTTAAAGTATACTTTGCTTTTTTTTTAAACAGTGAATTTAGTAAAAATCCCCATATTATGAGTTTTGTTGGAAATCAAGTAACTATTAGAAGAGCTGATGGCTCCCTGGTTCACATTAGCATATCACCATATCCTGCTATTCTCCATGAATATGTAAGCAGTTCAAAATGGGAAGATGCCGTAAGACTTTGTCGCTTTGTTAAGGTAATTTACATTTTAGATTCATAGTTGCATATATATTGCATAGTAGTTTACCTTTGTTAAAAATGAGTAATGATAATAGGCTTAAAGGCTGGAAAGATTGTGAATAAGATCATGTCTTTTGTTTTAGAAGTAAAGATTCTAATTCATTATGTCTGGATTGAGTCCTGGGCATATTTTTTAATTTCCTCAGATGATTGTTTTATACAGCTAAGGTTAAGAATCTCTGCTTTCAATCAGCCTTTTTCCAACTTGGTTGAATCTAGTATTTTTCAAACATGTTTGACCATAGACTTTTTTAATTGAATATCAGTGAACATTCCTTAGAATATACACTTTTGTGAAATGACTTTCAGATGATTTTTTTTAACAATGGATCATTGGTGGTAAAGCAGCATCATTGTCTGGGGTAAATACCAGGGTCCATCATCTCACACCAAGAAAATTAAGGACGTGGACATGTGAGTAGGTTAAAAAGTGGAAAGTTTAATTGGCAGAAGAAAGAAGAGAGGAGAGCAACTCTTGCCAGAGAGAGGCAGCCAAAAAGGGAAAAGTGGCAGACTGCAGCAGATTTTATAGGCAGGCAGGCTTGAGGAGGCTGTGTTTGATTTATGTAGTGCTCACAGATTGGTTTGACCAGGTGTGACATTTACATAGCACAGGGAAGGCTTGTCACCCCACCCTAATCTTATTATGCAAATGGACTTTCCACTTGGCCAGCGCCATCTTGTCTACTCCTTACTGTACACGTGGCTGGCAAAAAGAGAAAATGGAGCTGCCATTTTGAACATGCCTAGTCCCAGGTAGTATATTGCTATGGGCACAACTACTGGCATTCACCCATGCAAGCTTCCTGCTTGCTTATGTCTACAGCTCAATTTTACAGACTGCTCTTTATTAGAAAAGAAAATGATTTGGGGGCTGCTTTTCATTAAAAGGAAAATTTTATCTAGGACTTCTGTACCCCCGGTATAGCATTGTATGAGAACTTCACTATTTCTTTGGTTCCCTATGAATTACATTCTTTGACACTTCATCAAAAGACTGAAAGGTTTATAACCTTGAGTTATTTTTAATTCAGAGATAAATCCATGATAACTTGAAATTGAAAATTTCATTCAAAAGTTTTCTGTGTTATTAATATATTTTAACAAAATGGCCACAATGAAATTTCTACATTATTATTTTTCAATGCTGTGCTCAGTAATTTTTCTTTTTAAATTAAAATATAATTTTAATATGAGCATTTAAATGATCCTTATTTTAAGGCAGTTCAGCCATGTAGTTAAGATAACTGTTCTCATACTTCACTTTAGGAGCAAACCATGTGGGCTTGTCTAGCTGCTATGGCAGTTGCTAATCGAGATATGACTACTGCAGAAATAGCCTATGCAGCAATTGGTGAAGTAAGTAGTTAATGTTTACATATATATATGTGTGTTTTTTCTTAGCCTAATTTATTTCTGTTATTATCTACTTCAATTTTTTTCTTTTCTTTTTTTAGATTGATAAGGTTCAGTACATCAATTCTATAAAAAATCTTCCATCTAAAGAATCAAAAATGGCCCACATACTACTGTTCAGTGGGAACATACAGGAGGCTGAAATAGTACTTCTTCAGGCTGGCCTTGTTTATCAAGCAATCCAGATCAATATTAATCTGTACAACTGGGAAAGGTAATAAGAATACTTTTCATCAGTTCCAAAGTCTATTTGACCTTAATGTATTTTTCCACCTACCACTTAGTAAATTACATTTTCCACTATATTTTAGTTTTTTAAATCACAGAATAATTTATTCATATTTATATTTGTGAATAGTTTGCAGTTTATTTCTTTTCTGAACTTGTGACTGATTAAAAGTTGGGGTGTGAAGAGGAAGAGAAGCTAGGATATTTCCCAAATTTTTGTTTTAGTAACTGGAGAGATCATGACACCATTTGCAGATTTGGTAGGGAAGACAGTGAATTTCATTTTAGCCAAGTTTACTTTGAAATACTTGCAAAGAGATATAATAGTTGATTAAATGGACCTGGACTCATAAGAAAGAACAGAACTACAGGTTTAGATTTAGAAGTCATTCGCAAATGGATAGTAGTTGAAGTCAGAGGAATGGATGCAATTGCCTGGGGAATGTGTGGAATGGGAAGACATCCTCTACATTATGAGATGGATGAAAGAAAAGAAAGACGTGAAATGTTATTCCATTAAGCAGCCAGACAGGCAGTGAAAAGAAGAACCAAGAGATGTGTAGTGCTAAGGAAGAAACAGGAAAGGATCTGTCAGCAGCAATCAACAGCCTTACATTAGGCTCTGGGACAGATTGCTTTCTGAAGCAAAGTGGCAAGTTGCTGTTTTCTGTGACATAAAGAGGTTCCTCCCACTCATTCTCTCAGGTACATGTCACTCAGTGAACAAAACTATAGTTTTTATTTGCTCTTATAGTTTTTATATGCTCTTGAAGTTACTATGTTATGAAATTGACATACTTTTCCAGGTTTGAAATGCCTTTCATTATCTTTGTTTCTCCCTGGGCTGAAAAATAACCCCTGTATTTGTCAATTACAAGGCCCTTTACTTAAACGTCTTTGGATTAGAATTTTTATAGATATTTTATCTCTGTCTTTCCCTTGACTAGAAATGACAAAAATGGCAGATGGTTAATTTTGTGATTGACATACTGTAGTCTCCTTATTTAATTTATACCTAATGATCTATACTATTCATATAATTTAGCTACTCTGTTTCTGTCCTTTATTAACACAAATTCATTGTCATTGTCTAGCCATACAAAGGATCATGAAAGGTGTTTTTAATTCTATAAAAATAAATAGGCCACCTGGTGCCTGTGATCTCAGCACTTTGGAGGTTGAGGTGGGTGGATCACAGGAGTTCAAGACCAGCCTGGCAAATATGGTGAAACCCCGTCTCTACTAAAAATACAGAAAAATTAGCCGGGCATGGTGGCACATGCCTGTAATCCTAGCTACTCAAGAGGCTGAGGCAGGAGAATTGCTTGAACCCAGGAGGCACAGGTTGCAGTGAGCCGAGATCGTGCATTCCAGCCTGGGTGACAGAGCATGACTCTGTCTCAAAAATAGATAAATAAATAGGCCATTGTCTTTGTCCTGAATTTATTCATAATTCATAAAGTTGAAGGTAACTAGTTTAGAGAGTGCGAATATTTTTTAAATCATATGTTAAGTAACTTATAGAAAATTGTATATATCATTACCAAGCTAACAGAGTTCTATGAGAATAGGGAAGAATTGTGTTTATAGCATTCTTTTGACCAGTGTTCTTGAAAAAATATGTTGAAATTGTAGACACTACCCTTCATATAGCATTCTGAATACTGTACAATTTAACAAAAAAATTTAAGCTAACGGTCTTTATCTTAAAAAGCTTATAACCTAATTAGGAATTCCACTTTATTATAATTAATAATAGTCAAATGTCAAAATGATGAAGAGTATTGCACACAGAATGAATATTAGCTACCTACTATGTATAGATAATGTAAAATGTTTCTGCTCTTCAGGAAGCATGTAATCTGTAAGGGGGACAGATAACATAAATATCTAGAAAGATAAATAATTAGAGACATAAACAGTAATCCAGTAAAAAACAATATGAACAGTGGTACCAGCGGTATGTAATTAACTGCTTCGTGATCATTAATAATCATTTTGCAGCATTCCTTTTTTTTAGATTGATAGGATTCAGTACATCAATTCTATAAAAAAAACTTCCATCTAAAGAATCAAAAATGACCCACTAACTAATGTTTAGTGGGAACATACAAAGGTTGAAATAATACTTCTTCACACTAGCCTCCACTTAATTGAGTGGTTATGATGTACCAGGCATTAATTGTGCTAAATACTTCCTATATATTATTTCATTAGGTTATCTCAGCTCCAGAAGTTTAGATATTACCAGCCCCATTTTACAAATGAGGAAATCGAGGTTTACTTATAAGTAAGCACAAAATCTAGTATTTGTACCCTCAAGTTGTATAATATCAAAGAAGAGCTCAATTTATAACCAAGCATCAATTATCTACAGCTGGTACCATTGCTTATATTTTTTTGGTTTGGTTTGGTTTGGTTTGTTTTTTTGAGACAGTGTCTCACTCTGTCACCCAGACTGGAGTGCAGTGGCATGATCTCGGCTCACTGCAATCTCTGCCTCCTGGTTTCAAGGGATTCTCCCACTTCAGCCTCCCAAGTTGCTGGGATTACAGGCTAATTTTTGTATTTTTAGTAGAGATGGGGTTTCACCATGTTGGCCAGGCTAGTCTCAAACTCCTGACCTCAAGCGATCTGCCTACCTTGGCCTCCCAAAGTACTGGGATTACAGGCATGAGCTACTGTGCTCAGCCACACTTACGTTGTTTTTACTGGATTACTATTTATCTCTTTATCTTTGAAGATGTTATTCCCCTTACAGATTATATGCTTCCTGAAGAGCAGAAACATTTCACATTATCTATACATAGTGGGTAGTTAATATTCATGCTCTTACTCTCTCTATAATACTCTTCATCATTTTGCAGCATTCCTCTTCTTCAAATAATTATTGGATGTAGATGCATGCAGTGAGTGAGTAGATATCACAGAAGAAGATGAGGAAATTTGCCTCTGATGGCCTATCAAATAACCTTCTGAACATTTATTGTACCTCTTTGACCCAAATGAAACCTACCTTTTCCCAGAGCACACCACTTCTCTACCAGTCATTTCAAATGGAGTCCATTTATTCTCTCTACATTCCTTAGGATCCAGTGTCAGTGGAGTTGATGTCCTTTTTGCTTCCCTCATCTTTATTTGCCTATCTTATAAAATCGCCAGTCCTTTAAGGCTTGTATCATGTGTCTCTACTTACTTTTTGCTGAGACCTCAGACTTTCCCTGCTATCTTTATATCCTGTTCCCTGCATGCCCCTCTTCACCTTCCAATTCTCAGTGAGTGACCTTGCCTTGAGATTATTAGATTTCAAGGAGAAGGAAAACAAGAGGATCAAAGAACATGTAATGAGGAAAGAGAATGAATTCTGGGTGCTCCTCCATTCTTCTTATCTCCTGGCACTTCCTTTTCCTTTGTTTCTTGCTTTTATCTAACGTAAGCCAGTGGGTTGGTCAGATGCTAGTAGAATCTCTGAGTCTAACTGATAAGATAATAAATTCTAATAATTATCTATATACTACACTATCCATACACTTAAGACTCCAAAATATGCCCCTCTCACCTAGCCTTCTGCTCTGCCCATATTTGTTTCCAGAATCAATTCTCCAGCTGCATAGTTAACATTTCCATTAGATATCTCACATTTTTTTTAGCTCAAATTTATGTTTATTCTCTCATAAACCTGGTCCTCTTCCAGACTAGTCTATCTTACCATTCTTTTAGTTGTACAAAGCTGGAAATCTAGAAGTTACTTTTGACATATTCCTCACCTTCCCCCTCTATATTATCAACCATTTCCCTCCCACCTGGCTCTAACACTCAGCCACTCAGCCACTCATCCACTTCACTACCAGTACCATTATCTAAGTTGATCCAAGTTTTTCGGTTTAATGTCATCACTGTTCTCCCTATATCTACTCTGTCTCTTTCCTACTCATTCTTCATTCTGCAGTCATAGTGATCTTTTCACAATGGAATTCTGATCATATCACTCTTGCCTCTGATTCACTTCAATGAAACCTGCTTCAGTGAAATTCATAGTTTCCCATTACTTTTAGCATAAATATTGAGATTGGATAAGAAAGTACTGTAAATAGTAAGGAAAAGTAATTAATAGCTGCTAAGAAACCCTCAGGTAACTTATATATTGTCTTCATTTCTAAGTTCTACAGATATTTCTGAAACAGTTTGGAGTATTTGTTCCAACTACACATTCATTCATGCAACAGATGATTGGGTGTAATCCCTTGGTATCCATGAGACAGGTAAGAACCCTCAGGATACCAAAATCTGGGATGTTCAAGTTCTGTATATAAGATGGCATAGTATTCACATATAACCTATGCACAGGACTTGAATTTGTTTGTGTACCTTAGCTGCAGGGAAAGCCCACATTCAATATATGTACAGAACAGAACTGTACTAGATTTTTTTTATAGGGAGTATAAGGTAATGGTTAAGCTAACAATTTGAATTTGTTTACCTTTAATTGACTTTCTATATCCAGTTCATAAGGCCCAGTAGGGAGTGGGATATACAAGTGTAATGTTCAGGAGAGATCCTAGACATTGAAGGAAAGCCAGTGAAGGAATTATCAGCCTATAGACAGTAGTTGAAGCCATGAGTATGGCTAAAGTTAATCATGAAAACTTAAGAGAGCAGCAGCAAGCAGATCTCTGCTGCATACCAATATTTCACAATCTGCTTTAAGAAGAGAATTTAGCAGTCGAGATCAGATGGGAACAAAAAGGTGGAATTTTTAAAAAGTGTTTATTATGGAAAATTTCAAACACAAAAGTAGAGAGAATAGGGTAATGAATCAGAATGTACCCATCATTCACTTCAACAATTATCAATTTGTGAACAATTTCTACTCTTGCCGTGCCATTTATTTTAAAGCAGACCCCAATCATCATATCATTTTTTCTGTAAATATTTCAGTATGTATCTCTAAATTTTTTTAAACATAGCCACAATATTATGGTCATACCTTAAAAAGTTAACAGTAATTATATTCAGTGTTCTTATTTCTGTTTCACTCATAAGTGTTCTGCTTTGTTTTACGGTTTGTTTAAATCAGAACCCTGTAGATCCATACATTGTGATTGACTGATATATTCTTAAATTTATTTTAATCTATAGCTTCTCCTATTCTTTTTTCTGTTTTCTTGCAATTTTCCCATTGAGGAAACTGGACCTACAGAATTTACCATAGTGTGGGCATTATTGGATCTTTGGACAAAGATTGCATTTTTGTGGTATACTTTAACATAGTCCTCTGTCCCCTGAATTAGTTGCAAATTGGTTGTTCAGTCTAGGAACTTGATTAGATTTAGGTTTTATTTATTTATTTTTTTTTGTAGAAGACTTCACTATAGTAGTGTTATATGTTTCTGTAATGATTGGCTCTGGTGGTTTTTCATGATATTTTTTTGTGATGTTGTTAGCCATTGATGATCATTGCCCAAATCTATTTCTATGGGCTTACAAAATGATGATATTCTATCATTCCAGAAGAATAGAATTTGTTAGATGGTAAATACATTAGATTGCTTTTAATATTCCTGAATTTCTATATTTGTTTAAATCCTCTAGAAGGGAACAGATTTTGTTTTGTTCATATGTGATATTCCACTTGAGAACCATGGTCTTGCTTCTGTCTTTTATATTTGAGTTGGAAAATTGCCTGCAACATAATAAGGTTGCAGAGTAATAGGTAAGCAAGTTATCTGTTTGCTATCCACTTTGGACATTTGGTGATAGTCTGTTCTCAAAAACTGAAGTTAAGAGAGATAGAAACTAGCAACTCCAGATATGTTTATTGATTCTTCATGTGCATATTAATAATGATAATTTCTAATCTACCAGTTATACAAAGTGATTTTGCTTCATTCCAGTTATGTAAAAATCATATTTTGAAGTTATAACATCATTTTATATAATTTCCTTCTACTTAAAATTATGAATTTATTCCAGCCTTAGAATCTACTGTCATATTTGTTTGGTTGCCAAATAACCATTTTAAAACTAGAGACATACTGTTCCCAAAATCCTTATATAATTTGGAGTAAGTTCCCTCCTAAAAGTGGTGAAGAAACATTTTTTTACCCAGTGTGTGCTTTTAGAGAACATTTAAAATAGCACATATCATTTGAATGTTTACCTTTAGCCATTGCTGTTCAATCAATTGATACATATTTTATTATGACAATGATAGATAATTCTTAGTATCTAGCATCTAAATACAGGGTTAGACATCATATTCTATTCTTTCTACATAATTAAATAGACTGATGTTTTATACCAAAGTATCTCTTTTGCAATTTTGGAAAAGCTTCAACCCAGAATGGATGCTTCTATGTACTCCCCATTGAGAATACTTTCAGTTTTGCACAATCAAGATCCCCTTCCCTCATCATGTTCAATCATAAAGAAAGAATGGGAGATGGAGCTTCTAAGGTGACAAAAAAGTAGCTTATCAGTCTCCACTCACATATATACCACTGGAATCAGAGCCTTAGGGATATGCATGGGAGGACTGTATGGGAGAGGGTTAGAAGACCTGAGGCATCTTTACTTCCATTTTGCCTTTTTTGAGCCTCTCTGAATTGCTTTTTGCCTTCTTTATCTTCTGCTTTTCCCCTCTATATTCTAGTAATTTTACATTCTCTTCTGCCTATCTGATTTTTCTCTGGAAGACTTAAGGCCACAGAGGAATGGTCGGGAACTTTGTGAGAGTGTGTGATAGGTAGCAAATACTGACCCTTGGATTTCACAATATAGTATATGTCAACATATTTATAAGAAATCATACTGTTTGTATCATATACAACAAATTCATCATTTTTTCATATTAAGTGTTTAATATCTTTCTCAAAAGTCTATCAGTTGTCAGTCAATACATACACCATGTCTAAAATACTTTTTAAAGTGACTACTTAGTTTGATCGATAGTAAAGCAAACCAGGCCATGCACAGTGGCTCTTGCCTGTAATCTCAGCACTTTGGGAGGCCAAGGCAGCCAGATCACTTAAGGTCAGGAGTTCAAGACTAGCCTGGCCAACATGGTGAAACCCTTTCTCTACTAAAAATAAAAAATTAATTGGATGTGGTGGCAGATGCCTGGAATCCCAGCTACTTAGGAGCTTGAAGCAGAAGAATTGCTTGAACCTGGTGGTGGTTCAAGCCACCAGTGAGCCAAGATCATGCCACTGCACTCTAGCCTGGGCAACAGAGTGAGACTCCATCTAAAAAAAATAGTAAGGCACACCAAAGCATGTGAAGAATGAACCAGATTTTCCTATTGAAGAGTCTAATTGCAAAAAATCTAATCAGTAGTCAGCTTTGCTAAAACAACAGATTTATAATAGTTAGCTATAATAAATCCTGACTGGAATATTCAGAAGTCCTATGTCATATTAGAAAGCAAGAGAACAAGGCTGGGTGCAGTGGCTCATGCCTGTAATCCCAGCACTTTGGGAGGCTGAGGCAGGCGGATAACAAGATCAGGAGTCTGAGACCAGCCTGACCAACATGGTGAAACCCCATCTCTACTAAAAAAAATATAAAAATTAGCCAGGCATGGTGTAGTCCCAGCTACTTGGGAGGCTGAAGCAGGAGAATCGCTTGAAGCCGGGAGGCAGAGGTTGCAGAGTTGAGATCACGCCACTGTACTCCAGCCTGTGTGACAGAGTGAAAATCCATCTCAAAAAAAAAAAAAAGAAAGAAAAAGAAAGAGAACTTGAGAATTAATGTGCTTTTGACTGTTATAATGCCTGTTATCTATGTTTTGAAACGAGATGACAGTGAACAGTATAGGAGAGCTATCATCCACTGGATTGTTCCCAACTCAACTAATATGTGTTATGCATAGAATTGCAGTGGCTGAGGTGCTAAAACTCACTTGTGAAAGTAAGCCTGGAACTGAAGATTAATCTTTTTATTTTCCTGCAGATTACTGTCAGTGCATATATTTTATATCTTTAGTTTTTACCACCGTTTTCAGCAGCAGTTCATTTAGTTCTCATCTACCATTTAAATAAAATATTACTTTAAAAATAATTTGCATAAATATTGATTGAATTATAAAACTTAAATGACTGTCAACTTTTTCTGAGACTCAGATGGTAAAAGACATTTTGTCAGACTTCTTAGCCTCAATTTATTACTTGCATAAGATTTTTAATTTGCTGTAGTAATAATGTAAAGATACCAGGTTTTAATTTTATAAACTCAGTATAGACTTATGAAAATGGTCAAAATAGTTGGATCATTTACATTGTGAGGAAGTTCATTCACTTGAATTATAGGATTACAGGATGATTTCAAAAGTAGTTTCTTTTTTTTTTTGAGACAGAGTCTTGCTCTGATATTCAAGCTGGAGTGCAGTGGCGTGATCTCAGCTCACTGCAACCTCCACCTCCCAGGTTCAAGCGATTCTCCCGCCTCAGCCTCCCAGGTAGCTGGGATTACAGTCATGTGCCACCACACCCAGCTAATTTTTGTATATTTAGTAGAGACAGAATGTTGCCATGTTGGCCAGGCTAGTCTTGAACTCCTGGCTTCAAGTGATCCTCCCACCTTGGCCTCCCAAAGTGCTGGGATTACAGGCATGAACCACTGCGCCAAGCCTCAAAAATATTTTCAATGAATATTTACCACATATGTACTCTGTAGTACTCACCAAAGAGAAATATATCCCTTTAAAACTGTACTGGCTAGTAGAGAAAACAGACTCATAACAATTGTACTATAAGCAGTGCTGTAAATATATATATAAGTGTGTATGTCTGTGTGTATATATGTAAATATATATAAATGGTATATATATATATATTTATATATATATATATACTTATATATATATTTGTGTATATATATATTTATATATATATAAATGGTATGGAGCATAGGTAAGATAATAGTCATTTATTTCTACAAGGGGAGCTGGTTGGGAAGAAGAGGTCATGTTTGGTCTGGGCCTTGAAGTATAAAAATAGGAATTTGCAAGATGGATGAGGTAGAAAATGACATTTTATATTCTGGAATAAACAGAGAGAACAGCCATTTGTCTTATCCCCAACTCCGGAACCCTACTACTCATGGAGTCTGACACAAACAATGTTAATAATGTTTTATTTCTCGTTATAGGGCATTGGAATTGGCTGCAAAATACAAAACACATGTTGATACAGTTCTTGCTTACCGTCAAAAGTTTTTGGAGACATTTGGTAAACAGGAAACTAATAAACGATTCTTGCATTATGCAGAAGGAGTAAGTATTTTGCAATTTTTTATAATAATACATATGTTTTATAAGTATATATCATATTCATCCTGAGACAAAATGTGAATTATTCAAATTTTGAATCTGGGGCCGGGCACGGTGGCTCAAGCCTGTAATCCCAGCACTTTGGGAGGCCGAGGCGGGTGGATCACGAGGTCAAGAGATCGAGACCATCCTGGTCAACATGGTGAAACCCCGTCTCTACTAAGGATACAAAAAATTAGCTGGGCATGGTGGCGCGTGCCTGTAATCCCAGCCACTCGGGAGGCTGAGGCAGGAGAATTGCCTGAACACAGGAGGTGGAGGTTGCGGTGAGCCAAGATCGCGCCATTGCACTCCAACCTGGGTAACAAGAGCGAAACTCCGTCTCAAAAAAAAAAAATTTTGAATCTGTTAATCACTAAAAGAATTACTTTTTACCGTATGACATCTTATTTTGACTATGTAATTATAGTACTGAATTTTTTTTCCAGAGACTTGCAGGCATGTTTTGATTAACTCAGGTCTGTCATCATCATATTCTATTTGTGCTAAGGTTGGGTCCTATTTGATATTTTTAGATAAATAATATAGGTGGATGGAATAAAAGCTTCTAACTCCTAAATTTTACCTGCCACCAACTGCCTCTTCTGCTGCAGGGGAAATACATATACACAGAGGGTGCTGACCAGAAAATGCATAGTTGGTCACTTTGTAGAATTCTAGGGAGCTAGGTTGTACCTCTTAGAAGTGCCTAGCCTAGGTAGATCTCACTAGCTAGAACCAAAGAAGACTCAACCTTTGCCTTACAAGCTCCTACCAGAATCTCAGATTTTATCACTCTAGGAGAAAGTCATTCTGGTTGCAGTGGTGCATGCCTGTAGTCCCAGCTACTTGGGAGGCTGAGGCAGGAGGATTGTTTGAGCCCATGAGCTCCAGTCCAGCCTGAGCAATATAGCAAGACCCCACCTCTAAATAAATAAATAAATAAAAATAATAAGAAGAAATTTATTCCAGTAAAGATCAGCCCACAAGGAGACTCAGAATGTGTTTGCCCCATTGCCTAGACCATAACTGATTGTAGCCACTTACTCAGATTCTTTTCGTTTTAGATAGTAGAAACAGCGTTGCTGTCACTAGCTATATAGATCCCAGAGGCTTGACTCCTAAGAGCTGTGATTACAAGACAGGGCTGACCTTTCTTTCAGTCCTGTGAACCACTTTCTTTAGCCTTTTATTCATTCATTTATTCAAAAAATATTTATGAGGTCTCACTCTGGTTAGACACTATGTTAGGGGTTACAGTCAGATACAGCCTCGTATGTCTCTGTGGAGCTTATAGATTATGTGGGAACATTCCTTCTTGGTATAGAATAAAATGGAATATTCTGGTTCATCCTAGGGGCAGAGTGGGTTAGAGGAGCTTTAGGAAAAGGAGAGAAGGTAGAGAGAAGGCACCCACAATTTTCCATTAAAGCCAACATTATCTACTTATTGTATTTAGAATACATAGTGTCTTGTACTTCAGAACAATTTTCAGGTGAGTCAGGCCCTTGAGATCATTCTTAGAGTTTAGCAATGCAACTTCAACGTCTGGATCCAGGATAGCTACAAGTTGTGGATTTCATGGTAAAAGGGAGGCATATTTTATAGAAGCTCCACAAACCTTTTTTTATTTCATTTTCCTGGGAATGTGGGTGTACTCTACTATTAGGGCAAACACAGCATCCCAGGGATCTCTGGGGCTATACTCTGATTCATAGTATATGACAGCAGCCACCACCAAAACAGTGCTAAGCAGCCCAGGGAATCACCAGATTACCTGATCTTTGTGTCACAGTTTTGGAAATATGGCTATATGTTAAAACTAAGCACCTACCTTGTTTATTGTATAATTTTAAAGCAGATTAAGCTGCTCTGCTTCTTCTTCCTCATCGTCATCAATATTTTTTCAATATTCACATTAGATACTTTTGAAGACATAGAAAATATAGTTCTGATCAGGTGTGGTGGCTCAAGCCTTTAATCCTAACACTTTGGGAGACCAAGACAGGAGATCACTTGAGCCCAGGAGTTTGAGGCCAGCTTAGGCAACATAGTGAGACCCCACCTCTACCAAAAAATTAAAAGATTAGCTGGACATGCTGGCCTATGCTTGTAGGCCCACCTACTTAGGAGGCTGAGGTAGGAGGATCATCTCAAGGCGGCAGTGAGTTGAGATCATGACACTGCACTCCAGCCTAGGTGACAGAGTGAGATTCTGTTGGAATGGAAGAAAACAGAGAAAGAGAAAAAGAGAGAGAAGGAACGAAGAAATGGAGAGAGGGAAGAAGGGAGGGAGGGAGGGAAGGAAAGTTCTTACTTGAAAGGCAATTATATTTGGGATAGCAAAATTTTACCATCCTTATCATCTTTTTCATTATGCATATATTCAACTGTTAGCAAAATTTAATACTTTAATCATAAGAGTAGCAGAAATTTCCAAACTGAGATAACCAGAACAACATGGCTTTCTTAGGCATTTTAGGGTTTTTTTCATCCAGAAACTATATAATTACTTTGACTCCCTATGGTACTATGTTCTAGTTTCCTACTTTTCTTCATAAATGTCATTTGGAGTTAACTAAAAATCATAAAGCAGTATTTTTTTTTTTTTGAGACAAAGTTTCGCTCTTGTTACCCAGGCTGGAGTGCAATGGTGCATTCTCAGCTGACCGCAACCTCTGCCTCCTGGGTTCAAGTGATTCTCCTGTCTCAGCCTCCCAAATAGCTGGGATTACAGGCATGTGCCACCACGTCCGGCTAATTTTTTTGTATTTTTAGTAGAGATGGGGTTTCACCATGTTGGCCAAGATGGTCTCAATCTCTTCACCTTGTGATCCACCTGCCTTGGCCTCCCAAAGTGCTGGGATTACAGGCGTGAGCCACCGCACCCGGCCTATAAAGCAGTATTTTAAGATGAAAATTATTTTTTTTCCTTAAAAAATTCCCACCAATGAAATAAAATGTAACCCTAGGAAAATAGCTTTAGGGATATCTGTATTACTTGCTGATCTTTTGGTTTCATTTAGGTCTATAATCTAGTCATGATATATTATCCATATTTATCTATTTTTGCCAGACTTATGACTATACAAGCCCTTTATTTTAGAACTAAGAGTTAAATAGAAAAGGGTCACTTAAAAATAAAATTGAGAAATTTATTCTAGATATTTGGTGAATTTTGGTGGGCTCACAGTGCATACCATCTGGAAGTTTATAAATGAATGGAATCTATATAAGGGAAGAAGTGAGAAGTTTGATAGAGTCTTTATGAGCCCTGAAATGTTATTTGGGCATTTCTGATTTAAAATATGACAATCTGGGATTCACACAAGGAGTACTATTTTCTAAGAACCCTAATATTTAGAGTCATTGTACTAGGTCTACAATAGTGTTCTGTAAATATTTATAAAACAAATTGTAAATCTTGCAAAATGCAGTCAAAGAATACATTCATTCTATTGCATATATACTCTGTACAGGAAGAAAAGTAGATCTGGGAAATACCTCAAACATGTTGCTAGGAAAAAGAAAAAGAGTGAAAGAAATCAAACTCATGAGCGGGATTTCCCAAAGTTTAGAATTTTGAAGATCTGAGTCAATACTCTATTTAGGACAAATCACTTTAGGCTTAGCTACTACCTAAAAGCTGCTTTTACAGGTTTTTAATTTGGAGGAATTATTAATGGTGAGGAATTGTTAGCTGATTACTGATTTGCTGGGTAATTATTTGCCTTTTATTCATTCAATATTTATTGAGTGCCCCCTGCTGACAATGTTTTCTCCTTAGTGGTTGGGCTATAATAGTAAATGTGACAGACACTGGCCCTGGCTTTATGAAGTTTATATTCAAATGGAGATGACAATTATATAGTTAATTGTTCATTTCAATTGTGATAATTGCCTTGAAGGAGGTGTACATGGTGCCATAAGACTTTATGAATGGGGATCCTGACCTAGGGTGAGGCAATCAGCAGAGAATTTTCTAGCAAAGCACCATGATATTTGAACTAGCTCTAGAGAATGAATAGTAGAAGCTCACTGCAGGGTAGAGGTTGGGGATGGGAGATGAGGACAAACATGTTCCAGGCAGAGGGAAGGCTTTGAAGTGGGAAAGAGTAAAAGCAATGGAGGGATTGACTTTAGGGTTTCACAGGGCAAATTAAATACAGAGAAGCCATTGGAGAGAAATAACATGATTACTTTTCCCTTTTAAAATTCTGATTCGGCCAGGTGCGGTGGCTCACACCCGTAATCCCAGCACTTTGGGAGGCCAAGATGGGAGGATTGCTTGAGTCTAAGAGTTTGGAGACCAGCCTGGGCAACATGGTGAAACCCTGTCTCTACCAAAAAAAAAAAAAATTAGCTGGGCATAGTGGTGTGCACCTGTAGTTCCAGCTACTCTGGAAGTTTAGGTGGGAGAATCACTTGAGCCCAGGAGGCAGAGGTTACAGTGATCTGAGGTCGTGCCACTGCACTCCAACCTAGGCAACAGAATAAGAACTCAAAAAAAATAAAATAAAATTCTGATCCCTGACCAGGCACAGTGTTTCATGTCTGTAATCCCAACACTTTGGGAGGCTCAGGTGGGAGGATTGCTTGAGTCCAAGAGTTTGGATATCAGCCTGGGCAACATGGTGAAATCTTGTCTCTACAAAAAAAAAAAACAAAAAAACTGGGCATGTTGGCATACACCTGTAGTTCTAGCTACTCTGGAAGCCTAGGTGGGAGAATCACTTCAGCCCAGGAGACAGAAGTTGCGGTGAGCCGAGTTCACACCAATGCACTCCAACCTGGGCAACAGAGCAAGACTCCATCTCCAAAAAAAATAAAATAAAATCCTGATTCCTGGCCAGGCGCAGTGGCTCACACCTGTAATCCCAACACTTGGGAGGCTGAGATGGGATGATCATTTGAGCCCAGGAGTTCGAGACCAGCCTGGGCAATGTAGTGAGACCTTGTCTCAATTAAAAAAGAAACAAATAATCAATAAAATAAAATCCTGATTCCTAAAAATAAATGGAAACAACATTTTTTACAAAATTATCTTAAGATATTGCCAGTCAGTTGAAGGTGGTGATAAGAGCAAACGTATGAGTTCTTGAATGAATGAGGAAGAATCCTGAGTGACTGCTCTGGGCCCTGGGTGGTTGGAATACTGGTTGGGACAAGACACTGAAAGGTCTTATTAATACCAGGATAAGAGAATAGACTTCATAATGAAGGCAATGAGAAGACTTGGAGATTTGTAATCAAGAGAATGACTTGTAAGATAACATCAGATGTGAAAGATAGCTTAGAGGTGAGCGTGGTGACTAGACTAGTTAGGAAGTTGCTATAATAATCCCATCAGGAAATGGAAAGGGTAAGATTAATGTAAGAAAAATTTTACGAGTCAAATTAAGAGAACAGTTGTGGCTGGGGGCAGGAGGAGAGGTGGTAAAGTAAGGCAAGGCATTTGAGAATGACTTGAGCATTTCTAGTGTGGGCAGCTAATAGATGGGAATGCCATTAATCTAGATAAAGAATACATAAGAATATACACATTTTGGACCTTTGAGTTTGAATACATGAAAATATACCATTTTGTATGTGTTTAGAATATCTATTAGGTGTCCAGGTGGAGGTATCTAGAAGGCAATTAGAAATATAAATATGAACACACAAGGACATTGACAAGGAGACATCAACTAAATTTATTGTCTTGACCATCTAGGTATAGTTGAAGCTATGTGAATTGATATTTCTTAGGGAAGTCGTGAGAAAGCTGTGGTTGGACCCCGGTGAATATTAACAGTTGAGAGGTTGTCGAAGGAAACCAAAATATGACACTCCTAAATATGCCTCTTTGGAAGAGGCATATTTAATTTGCCAGTAAAGGCAAATTCTCCTTTACTGGAGACAACTTTTGTCAGCTCAGAGATGACTCCAGAGCAATAAAAAAAACCTTACTCCATGACTGGGGGTGGTAGCTCACCCCTGTAATCTCAGCACTTTGGGAGAACAAGGCAGGAGGATCACATAAGCCAAGCCCAAGAGTTCAAGACCAGCCTGGGTAACAAAGTGAGACCTTGTCTCTACAGAAAAATTTAAAAATTAGCCAAGCATGGTAGCACACACCTTTGGTCCCAGCAGGAGGTCAAGGCTACAGTGAGCCATGTTTGGGCCACCACACACCAGCCTGGATGACAGAGCAAGACTTTGTCTCAAAAAAAGAACAAATTCCACTTTATTAGTTTTTTTTCCATATATTTTTATTCCCATGGTTTCCAATCTCTGGAAGCCTAAAACTGCTTTCACTTATGTAAAAACAGTCTTGTCACATCTCTAAAATGTTTTGTTCTTTGTTGAAGATGCTCTGTAAGCCAGAGTTCCAAGATACTGTTTTGAGTTACCTTTCATTGAGATTTCTCCTAATGTGATGTATACTGCACATATTATTGAACTGGCCTGTTTTTCTCTTTTCAACCTGTCTCTTATGACAGGGGTCTATCCCATCAATAAATTTACAAGAGTTGAGGAGAAATTCTGTTTCGTCTCCAACATTGTTTAGGGAGCAGAATATAGAGGGGAAAAGAGAGAGAAAAAAAGAAGCAGCATTTAGAAAGGATAGCAAGAAGTAGAAAAGCGTAGTATTATACAGTCTGAGAGATTTTTCAAAGAGCGGTGGCTAGCAAGCAAGGTCCAGAGAATGCTCTTATCCCAGGGCCATGTTCTTCTCCATGTTACCATGCCCTTCCCCGGATGTACACATGGGTTCACTCACTCGTCTCCATCAAGTCCTCCCACCACGCCTTTTGTTTTTGAGACAGGGTCTCATTTTTTTGCCTAGGCTGGAGTGCAGTGGCAAAATGACAGCTCACTACAGCCTCAACATACTGAGCTCAGTGAGTAGATGGGACTACAGATGAATGCCACCACGCCCAAAAAATAAAATAAAAACTAAGTTTTTACATAGACAGTTTCTCACTATGTTGCCTAGGCTGGTCTTGAACTTCTGGGCTCAAGCAATCCTCTTGCCTTGGCTTCCCATCAGGTAAACTGATGACACTGCAACCTCTTATTCTATTCGTGGTGTTGACTGTCTCCCTTCTCTGTTTTCAAAATCTTTACTGCTTCTGGCATACTAGATATATTTTTTATTTTATTTATTATCTGCCTCTTCCATTTTTATCTGTCTCTATTATCTCTCTATGAAGACAGTGATTTTTATCTTTCTGTTCACTGATGAATCCTTGTACCTCAAACATTCTTTGACATATACTAATCAGTAAATATCTGTTGAATGAAAAATTGAATCATACAGAGAAAGTATATAGGATAAGAACTGAAAACAGCCGATGGTAGCTTTAGTGCAAAGTTCCTAAAATGTCATGGATCAGAATTACGGTGGACAGGGAAGAGAATGAGAGTCAGGAATGAGAAGAATGAGGGATGGTAGCTCGCAGGGAGAAGACAGAATAGAGAGGCAAGGATGATGAGAGAGAGCCAGTGAAAAGAAGGACACTGAATGTGTGAGGAATAATTGAAGTCAGACGTCCTGAAGGAGTCAAAGAAAATGGAATCGGGACATGTGTTAGAGGTTGGCCAGAGATGGAAGAGAAAGATAATGATGGGTATAGATAACAGGTAAGTTTGTGAATACAAGGAAGGAAAATTGAATGAACTCATGCCTGATGGCCACTGTATTCTCTGTAAAGTAGGAAGCTGATCTTCAGCTGAGAGGAAGAAAAATGTGTTAAGAAAATGGAGAGTCTTTTGGTATGATTTTGAAATTGCTTCTAGGTGAATAAGAATTGACTAGCGAGTAGAATAAGGAGTGCCAGATAATATTGGCACTCCTTATACTAGCAAAAGATGGATTTTAGTGTACAAATCACTTGACCGCTATCAGAGAACATTCTTATCTAAAACCTGCTATTAAAAATATTCTAATCCAAGAGCTAAATTATCTGTGAAACACTTTTAAAACTGGATCAATGCCAAAGTGAAAGTGAAACATTTATTTTCAGTAGGACAGCTATCCACTGACACCCTCATTTGTATTATAACAAGTAACTAATAAGAATATATCAATTTACTTGCGACAGAGCAACAGTTGTTCAGTATACTATCACTATATGCTTTTATTGTGATTGATTTGAGAAATATATGTAAGTCAATTTAAGGCTGGAAGAAGGCCAAAGCATTCATCAAGTTTTGTCTTCTCTTTGTTTGGTTAGACATAGAAATGAGTGCTTTGCCATTTAAAAAGTATCAGGTTTTGCCCTGATTGAAAAAATGAGTCTTTCAAATAATCTAACATCTGCTTGGCTTTTCAATGAGCTGTCACTTACATCTTAGCACAGACATTTGTCTGTGAGTAAGAGGAATTACTATGAGTCTTACTCATTTCTATGAGTAAGAGGAATTATTTTATCAATTCATCTATTTTATGGTATTATACCTGATTATATGGAATTGTTATTTTAAATAAAGGTGAGCCAAAATATTTACAAATTGCAGCTTTGACCTCAGGGGTTTTGTTGATTCTCCTATCTCAGCCTCCCTAAAGGCTGGGACCACAGGTGTGTGCTACCACACCCAGCTAATTTTTTATTTTTTGTAGAGATGGGACTTTGCCATGTTGCCCAGGATGGTGTCAAATTCCTAGACTCAAGCAATCCACCCACCTCAGCCTTCTGTAGTATTGGGATTACAGGAGTGAGCCACTGCGCCTGGCCAAGCATTCTTCTTCTTAACTTTGATGCTCTCTTTTTCTCTAATCTTTTGGAATTCACACATTCTATCTACTTACTCTTGGTTACTTTGGATTAAACAAAAGTGTCTTATACTATCTAAGCATATTTCTTCTTTTTTTTTTTCTATTGCAGCTCCAAATAGATTGGGAGAAAATCAAAGCCAAGATCAAGATGGAAATTACAAAAGAACAAGAGCAATCTTCAAACAGCCAATCCAGCAAGAATATGGGTCTAAAACTCTAAATGCCATGCTTATCTTTAAGAAGTTTTATCTTTTGAAACAAATTCTGATTAATCAAGAATAAGCATGTTTTGGTTCCTAAAGAAAAAAAGCTTAATTTATAAATAAGTACTTGCTGTGTATTTAATGTAAAACTATATTCAGAAAGGTGAAACACAAAATAATTGATGTACTTCTTTATATTTTTTAGTCCAATAATTAGCAAAGCATTACTGTATACTTAAGATATACCTGTGTAATGTTGATTATATTTCAGTTTTTTGCCTATTACTTCATCCCTGAATCTTTAGCATGAACAAATATTAATGTTGATAATAAAACATTGTACTTTTTGAAATATATGTTACCATTAATTTCTATTTGACCTCTAAATTCTAAAGTGCCTGGAAAAGTTTATTTATAGAACAAAAATACATTCGGAGGCCGGGCACGGTGACTCACGCCCAGCACTTTGAGAGGCCGAGGCAGGCGGATCACCTGAGGCCAGGAGTTTGAGACCAGCCTGACCAACATGGAGAAACCAGCTTAGGTAAGTTCATAGAGACGGAAAGGAGAACAGTGGTTACCAGAGACTGCAGGGAGGAGGAAATGGGGGGCTTATTGTTTAACAGGTACATAGTTTCTGTTTGGGATGAACAGATTCTGAAATGGATAGCCATGATGGCTTCTCAGCATTGTGAATGTTAGTGCCATTGAATTGTACCCATAAAAATGGTTAAAATGGTAAATTTTGCTATGTATATATTGTCATAATTTCAAAAATATATCTAGAATGGCAAGAAGGATTCTCCTCATTCCTCTCTTGACTTGAGAATGGCCAGGCAATAAGCCCTGAAGTACTTTCATAGGTGATAAACGGTTTGATTACTCTTAATTTAGTATGTCCCGAAGTTATTATCGCATAATCTTTTAAATAATAAAACAAATACCTCTTAGAAAGTCTTCTGTGAACCCATTTCTAGAAATGGTACATTATAGAGTGGGTATATGCATATATATGGGATTATGTATAAATATGTTACAGATACACACACACACACACACACACACACACACAGGGATAGAGGAATTACTGCTCTTAACTCCCATTTTAATTACTATGTCTAGGATTTTAAAATAAAAATCGTTTTCTTTATAGCATGTTTCTTTTCTTTCCTGGAATATTGGAATATCCTGTTCTTGATCCAGATGAAATCTGATTGAGCAGTATATTTTGTAAGTTGTACTGTTAATATGTTTTCTGTATTGTTATGTTTCAATGAGAAGTTTAAAAACTTTGGAAGGCCCAGGCAGGGGGATTGCTTGAGCCCAGGAGTTTGAGACCAGCCCGGACAACATAGTGAAACCCCATCTCTACAAAAAAGCCAGGCATGGTGACATGCACCTGTAGTCCCAGCTGCTCAATAGGGGGGATTGCTTGAACCAGGGAGGCAGAGGCTGCATTGAGCCATGATCATGCCACTGCACTCCAACCTGGGCAACAGAGAAAGATGCTGTCTCAAAAAAAAAATTTTTTTTGGTTTTACATTTTCTGATCAGAGTTGTGATGTTTTCTGATCCCATTGGAACTGCCATCCATAAACCAGCCTGGGCTATAATATAACAAGCCCCTGTCTCTACAAAAAAAAAAAAATCCTCCAAATTGGGATAAATAAAGCAGACTTTTAGGAGTCCTTTTATTGTTGGAGGCTCAGCAAGGGGTCCTGTCCCATTGGTCCACCCAACCTTCTATAGTGCTATATTAAGATCTTTATTTCAACCCACCAGTGCCTGTTTTATCTTATTTCTTAATAACCGTCTAAAAATTTCCACCCTGATGGAAGGAATCCTTTGATTATCCTGTGTCTTCTCATTGTCTTGTTAATTAATGTTCTTGATATCTTTATGACCCACATCAAGAAGCAGAGACAGCAAACCTGATAAGCCTTCTCTGTTGTTTAATTCTGCAAGAGTAAGTTTACATGGGGTGCCCTTGCAAAAGGGGTCCCTTTAATCACAGCATTTACCATGACTAGGTAATGGGCACATTCAGTAGATAAATATCCTGATCATCATAAATCCAGTTTCAGTGGTGTGCATACAAGACATATCAGCTGCTTCATCTGGGCTATTTCACCTGGCAGTTAGAGGGAAAGTCAGAAAGTCCTTCTCAGGGCTTTTATCACACTTCTTACAGTGGCTTTTATTCAGTCCACCAAGGCAGCTCTTCCGTCTGGAATAACCTGCTATGTATCTGGATCACATACAGCCTCCTACGATTGTTCCATAGTGAGCTGTGGGTCCTGTATCAACCCAGACATAACCTTCTGTACTGCAGCATTCAAAACGAAAGGTACTGCCCCTAAATTTGATATTCTTACAGTCCATTTTAGTAAAGATTCTTCGGGAAGCTGATAACTTCAGAAAATGAAACAGCTCCTTCACACTATACCTGCTGATTTCAGTCATTTTTTGGGTTTGTCCTTCTGCAACGTGAAGTACCCTCTTGCTGACCCAACTTTGGTTTTCTTCATTTTAAAACTTTATTTAAATGGAGACTGTTAGTCAAATGATTGGAAAACCAATAATGAAAAATAGTTCTTCAGGGTCTTTTCCTGGTGAGGCGGAGGAACACACCAAACTATATTGGCACTGTCGGGACAGGGCACCCTCTGGGGGCCAGGCTCAGCCCTCGGGTGGCATAAGGTCCTGCAGGCTGTGGGCCCTCACACTCCAGCCCCCTGCCTGGGGACCAGCCCGGGCCTGTGGTGCACGATGGGGAAGGCCACTGGCCAGCCCCTGGGCTTCGGCTCCTCTGAGGGGCACGGCCCCACGCCCTACCCAGCCATAAATATATACAGATCCTGGGCATCCGGGGTGCCAGGCCTGAGGCAGAGCTGGGGTCCTGTCCCCAGGCCTGCAACACAGCTACTCTTGAGACGGGGGATGGGGAGCTGGGGCCACCACACCCCTCCCCTGCCTCCCTCCCGGGATCACTGCCCTCAGGGGGCTGCCAGCTGGCCCAGGACGCTGCGGAGCTGCTGGGTGCTGTGGCCCAGCTCCTTGACCCTCTCCACCATATCCTGGGCAGCAGAGGGTGATGGGTACTGCAGGGCAGAGGCCTTGGTGGTGGCCACGATGCCGCACAGGAGGTCGCACAGCAGGTTGCTATAGTGGGTCACCTGGCTATGCACGTCGGCCGCCTTGGCCTGCCAAAACAGTGTATCCTGGATGAACACCAGCTTGTGGATGCTGAGGATGACGAACTTGCTATGTGCCACAAAGATCTTGGGTGGCTGGTTAGTGGCCACAGCAGTGAAGAAGGCGTCCACGGCATTGGTCAGCGTGGTCAGGTTGGCCTCACACTGTTCCAGATAGAAGAGCAGCAGCTGCTGGTCCGAGGGCCCCAGGCTGCCCGTCCGCCTTGGGGCCAGGGGCTGGGCCGGCGTCCAGTTGGTCAGGTCGTCAACTATGGGCCGTGTGACACCTCTTGTTCCAGGTGTTGGAACTGCTTCAGCTGCTGCAGCTCCAGCTGGCTCTTGCCCTGCCGTGTGATGCTGCCCTTTTCTAGCAGCTCCTCTGGGTCTTCTCAAACTCTTCCCATGAAGGTGGACGTAGACATAGTCCTCCACCCAGCCACTCTCGCTGTTCTCATATTGCCCATCTGGTGAGTCCTGGGAGGTGAACTTAGTGGGTGAGGGCAGGGGCCATGACCTCTAAGATGGATGCTGCTGATCTTGTCAGTGAGGTTGGGATGCAGGGTGCCACCCCCCTCAGGCCCTCTTGGGGCCCTCACCTTGTCAGTGAGGTTGGGGTGCAGGGGCCTTGGTCCGCCTGAAGAGCAATGAGGCGTTGCCACGCAGGAAGGAGGCCAGCTGCTTGGCGTCCTCAGGCACGGCCCGTGGGCAGGCCACCAGCCGGTCCAGGTCTTCAGGGGTGGCTCCTGGGCCTCTCCGGCCAGTGTCAAGGGCCGGACCATGTGCCACCAGCCTCTGGTGCACCTACTCCATCTTCTGCAGTTGCCGGCTAAGCTTGGCGTGCGGGGCGTGGTCATATGTGTGGGCAGCGTTGCCAACAGCGCTGTGGGTGAACTCTGGCAGCTCGTGGACTGCACTCTGGACTGCAGCCAAGGTGGCCTGCAGCTCCTGCACCAGTGGCTCCTGTGGTTCAGGGGTGCTGTGTCAGCGTCAGGTCCCACCGGCGCTGCCTGCCAGGTCCAGGAGATGGGCAACGGTGGCGCTCACACCCTGCTGCAGCCGAGCCAGGGCCTCCACAGCGACTTCCAACTCCAGGGGTTCTCCTCCCGGCCCCACAACCTCCTAGGAGGATGCCGGCTGGCTGCTGTGCGTGCTGCCGGTGCTGGGAGCCTACAGGCGCTTCCCCTCCACTGGGGCCTCACGCTCAGCTGGGGGAGGCATCGCATACACAGCATCGTCAGCCTTGCCACCGTCAGCCACCTCAGGAGGAAGCACCCATTCACCGGGCACGTCATACAGCTGCCTGGGCCAGGCTGCCACAAGCCAGGGGGCACATCGTAGAGGTCAGGAGCTGGGGGCAGCACATCATACACGTCCTCGGCCGGCGGGAAGTCTGGAGGGGGCGCAGCCAGGACCAGCGGGGTGCGGGTCGGGTCAAAGGGCTTGGCCTTGGTGAAGGCGGGACACCTCGTAGGTCTCCTCACGCTGTAGCAGCCGTCAGGCACGTCCTTGCTCACCGATGGAGGAACGTTGTAGACTGCGTGGTGGCTGGACAGGGGCAGGCTCTTCACACTAGGGAGCATGTCATACACCTCCAGCAACGGGCCTCGGCCATTGGAACTCTTGACAGCCATGGGGGTGTGTCATATACCTCCTGGCCATACTGGCTGGGAAGCAGCCCCCAAACAGGGGGCACCCTGTAGATGTTCTGGGGCGCCGGGGGCCAGCAGGTGTCTCGGGATGTCATACTCGACCTGCTCCGGCTGTGCAGCCTCATACATAGCTCTGCCCCACACGGGTGGGCACCACTACTTTGCCGGGGGCTTTGTGCCCTCCCAGCTGCGTATGTCCATGGACGAGGGAACCTGGTAGATGTCATGCCCCATCCCAGTAGAAGGTGACACCTGGTAAATGTCCTGGGCAGAGCCTCCAGGCCCTGGGGGTATGTGGTACAGGTCTGTGGCCAGGCTGGGAAAACGGGTGATGGGGCGTCTGCTTCGAGAATGTAGATGTCTGCTTAGCTGGGGACAACTGGAACTGAGGGCTGGGACCGGGGGCTTGGTAGAGGCCTTGCTGAGTCTTGCTCAGGGTGGGCACCAGGTAGACGCTGTCAGGCAGGGGCTGGTAGGTGGCAGGGAGCATGGGCGTGTACTAGGAGGTTGGAGGCGCTGGGGCATGGAGGCCCTGTGGGAGGCCGGGCTGAGGCTGGGCAGGGGCAGCGGGTGGACCAGGGCCCGGCCCTGCTGACTTCTTATCGTACATGCCCACTAAGATCTTGAGGCGGTTCACGGGCACAATGCCCTGGTGCCCGTGCAGTGAGCAGAGCCACTAGCTGTCCAGGCCCTGCGTGTCCTGTCCAGCACCGTCATGATGTCGCCCTTGCAGAAGGAGAGCTCATATGGGGACTCGGCCACGTTGTCATAGAGGGCTTTGGCCAGCACATTCAGGTGGTTCATGGTGTCCAGCGGGCCTAGAACCCCCCTCCCCCGAGGGCACACACTGAGCTTCCTGGGCCGTGTGCCCTTGGAGCTCCAAGCACACCACGGCTGCCATGGTACCACCGATCCAGCCACCCAGAGCTGATCCAGGAGCGCTCAGAGTCCTTGCAACTCCTGCTGTCCTACTATGATTATTCCCTTTTGGGGGTGGCTTGAGGCTAGTGGTCATAGATGAGACCTACCAAAATCTTAAGTTGGTTCAGGGTCAACATGCACCCTAGCATTTTATTTGACTCTCACTTTAACTATATTATAGATAGAGCCAAGGGATGTTTACTATATTTCTTATTATTTTGCATTTCTGTATGTATCCTGTGATGATAGAATAGTTCTGTGTCTTGATTGTGGTGATGGTTACATGAAGCTACCAAATAATTATATTGCACATAAACAAAAACCTTTGGTGCAGAATAGTACAATACTGTCTATATTTACTCTGGGTACATCCATGTGGAGCAAAAATATACAGAGAAAATTCTGAAAAGATACTTAACAAACATTGGTTAAATCTCGATTTAGAGGAGTAGGCAGTGACTGAAGACCAAGGTAGTATAGAGGACTTTGTTGTAATGTTTTCTTTCTTTTCTGCCTTCTTTGTAAAGGAAGATGTATTTGTTATTACTTGAGAATGTAAACAAAGAAGACTGGAAGGTTACATAGCTCATTGGAGTATCTCAGTGTAGTGAGATAAAGGACAGATTTTAAGACTGAATTTTCCCCAATGTGTGTTTAATTATCACTCTCGTAATTTTATTTTTATTAAACGCATTTGGTTTTGTATCTGCTAAAATCACCAATAAGCTTGTGGTTGCACACATGACGAAAAGTGAAATGCATTTGCATGACACAGCATTCATAGGTCCAGCACTTTTGTTTCTGAACCAGTATTTTAACAGCTTTATTGATGAATATATTGTACTTTGGATTGCCCTGGTTTTCTCTTTCTTTGATCCGCTACTGTGTCAGTGTTTGCAATCAGATTGCGTCTCACCTGCACATACATCTTTTCAGAATCAACGTCTCTACAGCTCATCCTAATCATCATTAATGATGTCATTGGTATTATATAGGAACACCACGTTTTCTGCAGGAAAGGATCTGGACATAACAAGGAGAATGGGGGTGCATACGAACAAATATAATTTATAATAATCAATGTTGTATAACTTTTATTCTTTATTATTGGTAACGCTCCCTAACTATGCCGTGTGAGAATGGGAATTTCAAATCCCATCCTGTAAATTGTATGTCGTCATGCAGGTTTTGGGCCAAGAAAGCATGCAGAAACAAATGCCATGTGATTGTAATTATCCTGGACTCAGAATAATAATATGATGGGGAGCTAGATCCCCGGTGGTGGAGAATTCTGATGTTCACTATTTGCAGGCCAAAAGATGATTGCTGTATAATTTTAACAAATCATCATCTGTTAGTAACATCTTTGTGTAGTGTCTTCTCAAGCTTTCTTTACTAAGGAGTTCAGTTCTGACACAGATACATCCCACTAGCTTATGAGGTGGAACTAGTAATAAAGACCTTGAATTTGGATTGAAAGGTTTCCTATCTTTACGTTGTTGGGAAAGTCTTTTTTTTTTTTTTAATTGGTCAAGAAATGTTATCTCTCACAGGCTTGGGAAATCCTGTTAGCATGCAGAATAATGTGGTAACTTTGTCAATTTCCCATTTTATTTTTTTAAATAAATATATGATATAAAAAATATTTTTAATCAAGTTTGAACATTTTATTACACCAAAAAAAAAAAAAACCACACACAAGACAACCCTAGAAACCTTGTATCCATTAGCAGTAAATCCTCATCTCCTTACCATCCCCCACACAGTCCTAGGAAACTACTAATAAACTTTCTCTCTTTACAGATTTTCCTGTCCTGGGCATTTAATTTAAATGGAATTAAACAATTCTTTTGTAACTGGCCTCTTTCACTTAGCACAATGTTTTCAAGGTTTATCCATGTTGTAGCATGTATTGGTTCTTTCTTTATTGCTGAATAGTATTCCACTGTATTTATATGCCAAAATTTGTTTATTCATTTGTCAGTTGATAGACATTTGGGTAGTATCTACTTTTGTTTGGGCTGTTATAAGTAAAGGTGTTATGAACATTTTCATACAAGTTATTGAGTAATAGATTTTTTTTAAACAAAATTTTTAAAAAAATTTTTTTATCGAACTTTAGGTTCTGGGGCACATGTGCAGAACATGCAGGATTGTTGCATAGGTGCACATATGGCAATGTGGTTTGTTTCCTCCATCCCCCTGTCACCTACATCTGGCATTTCTCCCCATGTTATCCCTCCCTGACCTCCCTGACCTTCCCACCCCCCCCACTGTCCCTCCCTTGGCCTCCCCCAACAGACCCCAGTGTGTGATGCTCCCCTTCCTGTGTCCATGTGTTCTCATTGTTCAACACCTTCCTATGAGTAAGAACATGTGGTGTTTGATTTTCTGTCCTTGTATCAGTTTGCTGAGAATTATGGCTTCCAGATTCATCCATGTCCCTACAAAGGACACAGACTCATCATTTTTTATGGCTGCATAGTATTCCATGGTGTATATGTGCTACATTTTCCTTGTCCAATCTATCATCGATAGGCATTTGGGTTGGTTCCAGGTCTTTGCTATTGTAAACAGTGCCGCAATGAACATACATGTGCATGTGTCTTTATAGTAGAATGATTTATAATCCTTTGGGTATATACCCAGTAATGAGATTGCTGGGTCAAATGGAATTTCTATTTCTAGGTCCTTGAGGAAGCACCACAGTGTCTTCCACAATGGTTGAATAGTTTATACTGCTACCAACAGTGTAAAAGTGTTCCTATTTCTCCACATCCTCTCCACCTTCTGTTGTTTCCTGATTTTTAAATGATCGCCATTCTAACTGGTGTGAGGTTGTATCTCAATGTGGTTTTGATTTGCATTTCTCTAATAATCAGTGATGATGAGCATGTTTTCATATGTTTATTGGCCTCATATATGTCTTCTTTTGAAAAGTGTCTGTTCATATCCTTCGCCCACTTTTGGATGGGTTTGTTTTTTTCTTGTAAATCTGTTTTAGTTCTTTGCAGATTCTGGATATTAGCCCTTTGTCAGATGGGTAGATTGCAAAAATTTTTTCCCATTCTGTTGGTTGCCAATTCACTCTAATGATTGCTGTACAGAAGCTCTGGAGATTAATTAGGTCCCGTTTGTCTATTTTGGCTTTTGTTGACAATGCTTTTGGCGTTTTAGTTATGAAGTCCTTTCCTATGCCTATGTCCTGAATGGTTTTGCCTAGGTTTTCTTCTAGAGTTTTTATGGTGTTAGGACTTATGTTTAAGTCTTTAATCCATCTGGAGTTAATTTTAGTGTAAGGTGTCAGGAAGGGGTCCAGTTTCTGCTTTCTGCACACTGCTAGCCAGTTTTCCCAATACCATTTATTAAACAGGAAATCCTTTCCCCATTGCTTGTTTTTGTCAGGTTTGTCAAAGATCTGATGGTTTTAGATGTGTGGCATTGCCTCCAGGGCCTCTGTTCTGTTCCATTGGTCTATACCTCTGTTTTGGTACCAATATCATGCTGTTTTGATTACTGTAGCCTTGTAGTATAGTTTGAAATCAGGTAGCGTGATGCCTGCAGGTTTGTTCTTTTTGCTTAGGATTGTCTTGGCTATGAGGGTTCTCTTTTGGTTCCATTTGAAGTTTAAGGTGGTTTTTTCCAGTTCTGTGAAAAAGGTCATTGGTAGCTTGATGGGGATCGCTTTGAATCTATAAATTACTTTGGTCATTTTCACAATATGGGTTAGGAATGTTTCTCCATTTGTTTGTGTCCTCTCTTATTTCCTTGAGCAGTGGTTTGTAGTTCTCCTTGAAGAGGTCCTTTACATCCTTTGTTAGTTGTATTCCTAGATATTTTATTCTCTTTGTAGCAATTCTGAATGGGAGTTTGCTGATGATTTGGCTTTCTTTAAGTCTGTTATTGGTGTATAGAAATGCTTGTGATTTCTGCACATTGATTTGTATCCTGAGACTTTGCTGAAGTTGCTTATCAGTTTAAGGAGATTTTGGGCTGAGATGATAGGGTCTTCTAAATATACAATTATGTCGTGCAAATAGAGACAATTTGATTTCTTCTTTTCCTAATTGAATATCCTTTATTTTTATTTTATTTTATTTTATTTTTGCCTAATTGCTCTGGCTAGAACTTTCAATACTATATTGAATAGGAGTGGTGAGAGAGGGCATCCTTGTCTAGTGCCGGATTTCAAAGGGAATGCTTCCAGTTTTTGCCCATTCAGTTTGATATTGGCTGTAGGTTTTGTTGAAGGCCTTCTCTGAATCTATTGAGATAATCGTGGTTTTTGTCTTTGGTTCTGTTTATGTGGTGGGTTACGTTTATAGAGTTGCATATGTTGAACCAGGCTTGCATCCCTGAAATGAAGCCTACTTGATCTTGATGGTTAAGCTTTTTGATGTGCTGTGTCAATTGGTTTGCCAGTCTTCTATTGAAGATTTTTGCATCTGTGTTCATCATGGATCTTGGCCTGAAGTTTTCTTTGTTTGTTGAGTCTCTGCCAGGTTTTGGTATCAGGATGATGTTGATCTCATAAAATGATTTGGGAAGGATTCTCTCTTTTTGTGTTGTTTGGAATAGTTTCTGAAGGAATGGTACCAGCCCCTCTTTGTATGTCTGGTAGAATTCAGCTGTGAACATGTCTGGACCTGGACTTTTTTTGGTTGGTAGGCTCTTAATTGCTGCCTCAACTTGAGCGCTTGTTATTGTTTTGAGATATGTTCCTTTGATATCTAGTTTACTGAGAGTTTTTAGTATAAAGCACTGTTGAGTTTTGTCGAAGGCCTTCTCTGAATCTATTGAGATAATCGTGGTTTTTGTTATATCTTTTCTAAATCTAGATGCCCAGCAGAGCTACCAGGCTCTGGCATGGTACTGGGAGTCTCTGCAAAAAGTCCTGTGATGTTATCTGTCTCAGATTTCTTAGCTTTGGATACCAGCCTCCTCCAGTGGAGGTAGAAGGAGAGTGAAGTGGACTCTGTGAGGGTCCTTTGTTGTGTTGTTGTTTATTGCACTAGTTTTGTGTCGGTTGGCCTCTAACTAGGAGGTGGTGCTTTCAAGAGAGCATCAGTTGCCGTAGAATGAGGATACAAGCTTGTCCTAGGGTTACCTGGATAAGTTTCTCAGGCAGTAGGTGGGGCCATAGAGCTACCAACAGATTACATCCTTTGCCTTCAGCTACCAGGCAGGTAGACAAAGACCATCAGGTCTAGGCAGGGATAGGCTTGTCTGAGCTCAGACTCACCTTTGGTGGGGCTTGCTGTGGTGCTGTGGGGGATGGCAGTGTTGTTCTCAGGCCAATGGAGTTAAGTTCCCAGGGGGATTATGTGTGCCTTTGCCGGGTCATCCAGGTTACCAGGGAAGTGGGGGAAAGCCAGCAGTTACAGGCCTCACCCAGCCCCCACGCAGCCCAAAAAGCCGGTCTTACTCCCACCATGCCCCACCCCCCACCCCCAACATCATTGAGTTTATTTCCAGACACAAGGTGAGCAGGGCTGAGGACTCACCCCAGGCTTCAGGCCGCTGCACTGGGAAAACAAGCTTTTCAGGTTTTGCACCTCCCTGCGGCAACTTGAGCTTTGTCTGCACTCTTGGTTCACCCTCTTTCCCAGATTCTGTCCAGGAAACTTCGTATTCTGTTGAAATTGTTACAAAGTTCAGTTGGAAGCTTCCTTCTCCCTGTAGTCTTTCCCCAATTCCACTGGCAGCCCTCCCCAAGAACCCCCGTGAGACAAAGTCAGAAATGGCTTCCCCAGGGACTGAGGGTTCTCACAGGCACTCTCCTGCTGCTTCCTCTACCCTGTACTTACTTCCCTTGGCTCTCTAAGTTTGCCTTAGCTCCAGGTAAGGTCGAATTCTTCTCCAGTGATCTGCGCCTTCAGGTTCCCAAGTGGGGATGTGTGTTTGGGGCTGGATGATTCCCTTTTCACACTTTCACACTTTGGAAACTCACAAATTTGGCTGTCTCTCAGAGCCTGCAGCAGTAATCTGCTTTCGTCAAAGGGTCTGCAGATTCTCTCGGCTTTCCTGGTATGTTCCTGCTGTAGTTTTGGAGAAAAGTTCACGATGTGAGTCTCCACATGTTGCTCTGTTGGTCCAACTGAAAGCTGCAGGTTAGTCCTGCCTTCTATTTCCATTTTCTTCCTACCTACAACTTTCGTTAATTTAAAAAGCAGTAAAATTGACTTTCAAAAAGCTTAAATGAGAGAAACAGTATTTATGGAAAGTGATTTGAAAGTTGTACAGTCATCTATATAATTTTGAAGATAATTCTAGAATAAGACCTCTAGAATAAAATGTGAGAAAAAACAGCATTTATGGAAAGTGATTTGAAAGATGTATAGTCATCTATCTAACTTTGAAGATAATTCTAGAATAAGACCCCAGAATAAAATCTGTTTTGGGATTGGCTCAAAGCATCCAAAGTTAGAGTTTCTGTACTACATTATTTAGACATCTTGAGAAATTGCCTCCCTTGTGGCACGTGTCAATGCTATGCCATTGCTTATACTGAAGATCTCATTTTTGGAAGCCCTGCAAGACATACTTAGTGTAGAGATGGTCACATATGTTATTCTTGACCTTATAGTGTCTTCTTTATGAGAACTCACAGGAACGGCTTCTTCCAGATCTCAGTAGTAGGAGGATTGTGCTTCTCTGAAGCATCTGGTCTGGTTTTTACTTACTAAATGTCATGAATCCTTTAACTAGTTGGCTGTTTCTTTCATTGTATTTCCTGCTATAAAGCTAAGAACTGACATTTAGCCTTATTTTTTCAACTGCTTTCCCCTTTGCCCTGCTTTTTCATCTACTCTTGGGGGGGGGGTCTTGTTTTTTATGTGCTTTTTGTAAACACCCTTAAATCTGTTTAATTGTAAGTTACAGAATGGCTGGATGAATAAATAGGTAGACAGATGAGATAATTGACATGTTTGTAATTTGACTTTTTTTTTAAACTTTAAGTTCTATCTTCTGGAACCCTATAAAATAAGATTAAGTCTATTTCTACAAGTTCACCCTTTAAATATTTAAAGATAATTATTTGCCTTGTTTGTCTCTTCTGCAGGTTAAAAATCAGAAATGTTTATATAAAAGCCTTTATATCAGGCTGAGTGCGGTGGCTCACATCTGTAATCCCAGCACTTTGGGAGGCTAAGGCAGGCGGATGCCTTGAGGTTAGGAGTTTGAAACCAGCCT